AAAGAAAGAATATTCTCTTTTTATACAATAAAAAATCCTTATTTTCATACGTTGCTTTATTGATTAGTAAAACAGGAAAACTCCTTTAAAGCAATTTTTTTAAAGGAAAAAAAAATCAAAAAATTCAGGGCGTTCTACTACTTAGAGAAAATGCATACTTAACACCTTTCACACAAAGGAAGTTGAGTTGTTCAGTGTCTGTTCCTTCTTTTGTTCGATTTCATTCTTTTCATTCCTCATATACGGAAGTAGATATTTGATTAAGTGCAGCCTAAGTTCTTAAAAAGAATAAATTTTTAAGTGTTTTATCACCTTAAAAACATCAAAAATCTGAAGTTTTTTTAAGGATAATAATTAAACGATGATGAATACATTAAAAGTTTATAACTTTAAATTAAATATTAAATTATATAGCTCTAAGAAATCTATAATTTAATTTTTTTTCCTAAACTGTACTAAATGAAATAAACTAGGGATTTAAGTTTCGAAAAAAAATTTTTCATTTGTGATGGATTAAAAAATTTAACATGATACTCTAGAAAGTTTTTTTAAAATTTAAACATTTCGTAGCTTACTTTCCTATAGAAAATTTTGGTCCGGAACAAAAATTTACTATTTTACCTTTTCACGCCACTGATATGAAATCTGCAATCTGTTTCTCTCTCCAAATAAATTTTTTAAATAAAATATTTAATCTATTTTTTGTAATTATGTACTAGTTTAAAAACGTTATATATAACAGAGTCACGTAAATGTTACAACACTTTTTAGGGAAGTTAGGACACATAATCAGGATTAAGAATGCATTTAATTAAGAATTGTCCGGAAACGTCGTCATACGCCACTAAGTGTGTTTCCCCATTCATGAAATGTTTCTTCGTGTGCTTCTGAGCCAGTCATAATAGGAAAGCTATCCTAGAAACATACGACTACATTTCCAGGTATGGTTCCCTATGAAATTTTAATTCTGATGGTGTGCCCAACTCACAAAAATTTTTCGTAACGTTTACGTGGCCTCCTGTTATATACAACGGTTTTAAACTTGTACATTTTGGCAAACAAATTACTCAAAATGTCATTTTAAAAAATTTGCAGCTTTGAAAGCAAAACTAATTTCAAATTTGAAATCCCCATACCCGAATTAGGCAAGATCAAGTATTTATATAAATGCAACAAAAAGTTTGTCCCACAGTTTTTCCGTAAACAGATAAAATTTGCAAACATGGATACAGATTTAATTTAATAGGTACCGATTTATTTAATAGGTATTTATTTTTTTTCTGCTTCAAATACGAAAAACTTTAATATCAAAACAATAAGTTTTGATCACTCATTAGTGTGAGTGTAGTAGTAACATTGGATTTTGTTAACACTATATCCATGTTCATGATAGAAAGCTAAACATGGATCAAAATCCTGGACAACCTAGTCCGTTATATGTTCAAAACCTGACGCATGAAATTAATTACTATATTTATCAAAATAAATAAATAATAATCTATAGTTATATATTGATGCTTGAAATATCTTTGTAGCAAACGTGCGTACATGATTTTATTCTCGATTAATAAAAAACCTTCTAATTTTCTTTTAGCCTTGCAATCACCTTACAATTTCCAATCATATCTATTTATCCAGTTTCAATTTGTAAATCCGAATATAAATATTTTTGTGTATTTTTGAAGATTAGTCGCTTAAAGGTGCTTTTTTTTTTTTTTTTTTTTTTTTTTTTTTTTTTTTTTTTGAATTCTTACGATTTTTTATTCCTAGGATTTTATAACCGCTTTTCTTTGTTCATAACTTGAACTTATGTCTTGATTGTTACTCCTCCTCTTCAGTGGCACAACAGCCCAAAATGGGCAATAGCCTTCGTTGGAATTTGATTCCTCACTACCCACTCTTCGTCCTTCTCTTTCCATCTAGCTATTTTTAATGTATTTAGATCACTATTAAGATAGTTCAACTACCTAAGTTTAGGCCAACCTCTCTTGTATTGGTATGTAGAAAATGTGGATCATTTAAACACAAAAAGTCTATAAAATAGTGGAAGTAGAGTCGAAACTTGATTCAGAAGTGCCCTTGTCCTACATTCTTTATATGGGAGTATGTGATAAAATCAAATCACAATTCCCCTTACACTGTAAGAAATTCCAGATCAAATTACGGGAAAAGTACCAGCACATTGAGTGCTGGTTCTTTCTACCGTAATTCGATACGGAATTTTTAACAGTGTATGTAATTATTACTAATTGAAATTTTATAAATGTTTTTAATGAACAGTTAAATAATTCCATTTAACTTCGGCGCATATAAGAAACATCAGCCAAATAAAATGCTTCATAGCGATTTTTTCGTATGTTTAAAATTAGATCAACGAATTCAGCACAACTTTTCGAGCCATGGCAAAGAACAGACCCTTTCAGTCAGGGATGTAACTTGATTTTTTTGATCGTACGTTGAAGTCAGTCACTATTATAGATTTGCAAGCTATCCCTTCAAATAAAGCCAAATCCTTAATTCAAATCAACGCCAAATTTTTGACAGATCAAATAAATGCCAAATTCTTGACTGATCGAAATAAATGCCAAATATTTGAAACCATGATCTCAAGCAGAGCTGAAATCTGGGCTGTAACCGATCATATCACAATAGATTTGCAAGCTATCCCTTCAAATAAAGCCAAATCCTTAATTCAAATCAATGCCAAATCTTTGACAGATCAAAATAAATGTCAAATCTTTAACTAATCGAAATAAATGCCAAATACTTGAAACTATGATCGCAAGCAGAGATGAGATCCGGGCTACAACCGATCATATCACAATAGATTTGCAAGCTATCCCTTCAAATAAAGCCAAATCCTCAATTCAAATCAATGCCAAATCTTTGACAACTCAAATAAATGCCAAATTCTTGACTGATCGAAATAAATGCCAAATATTTGAAACCATGATCTCAAGCAGAGCTGAAATCTGGGCTACAACCGATCGTACCACAATTCGTGATTTCAATATTTTTGTATCAAGAACAGTATATTGTCAAAAAATCATAAGAGATTAATTGCGGAACACCTTATAATGGTGGGATTTCTTTATTCTTTTGTATTTTAAAGTCCCTTTATTCTTTTGTCCCTTTTGCATATTTTTTTTTCTGATGCTCTAATTACAAGCAAAAATATATTTCGCTATTTTTAATTATAAAGAACAGTTTAATAGTTGCTAAAAAATTCTGATTTTCGAAAAATTTAAAAAAGCAGCCTGAAAAAACTTTTTTTTTCAATCATATTCAAAATTTTATCAATTATTGGTCGAACTTTTAATGATGAACAATTGTTTCTCTTAGATGTAAATAATTGCAAGTTTCAAAAATTGTTAGGATGAGAACAGCGTTTGGAAGATATTTATTTTAACGCTAAAAAAAGTAACCGGTTTTTAATGATGTATTTCATAACCATAAATAATTCAAATGCAAAATATAATATTTTACATTCATTATGACCAAAATGAACGTAAAATAATGAAAAAAGTATGAAAAATATATTTAATAAAAAACTCTGCTTTAAATGGTTAACTAAGCTTTACCGGGAAACACAATTGTAGTAATCCTATACTAATAAATCGTACTTCGTTTTAACATAAGTATAGTACACTCTCGATAGATCGATTACGTCAAAAAATATTTTTCCCCTATATATCCACCTAATGTTAATTTGAATTCCTATGTCGAAGAGTCTTCTTAAAACCTTTGTCGAGTTTTTTTTTTCCTTTCTTTTTTTTTTCGAAATAGAAATTGAATTTTTTCGGTAAAATCACAAAGTAAGTTAAACCAATTCTTTTTTATTTAATGCACAATTATTTTTGTTTTACTTTTAAAAATAAAATTATCACTGTTGTATTTAGAATTATAGTCAACTATCGTTACATATGTACACCGAAGAGCCATTACATTATGACCACCCTGCTAATAACTCGTAACACCACCTTTAGCCCTCAAAACTGTTAGCACCCACCGTGGCATTGATTCCACAAGGTGCTGTTAGGTAGTCTGAGGTATCTGATACCAAGCGCTCACCAACTGGTCCTGCAATTCCCTCACATTGCGAGGGGGTAGCGTGGCAGTACGAATTTGGTTTTCCAATTAGGACCACAAATGCTCTATTGGATTAAGGTCAGGTGAATTTGGGGGCCAAGACATGACTTGAAAGTCACTGGAATGTTCCTCGAACCAATCAATGACGACTCGACCCTTATGACATGGTGCATTATCCTGTTGGCAAACACCATCCCCCGCAGGAAAAACTGTTGCCATGAATGGGTGAACTATGTTCAAGTAGCTTACCGACGTCAGGGATTGTTCTATGAGGATTATGGGTCCTAATGTGCCCCATGAAAACATTGTTCCTGGGCGAGAAACCCTGAGAACCTGGGCGAGCCCATTGTTATAAATGGAGGATGGTCATAATGTAATGGCTCTTCGGTGTATTTAATAATAGTTATTCTTATGTGTTATGACTCTACTTTTTCCAGTGATATTGTGGAATATATTTTTCTACTTTTCAGAACATATTTAGTTCTGAACTCATCTCAAAAACTCGCTATTCCGAAATTTTTTACCGTCCCCTAAACTTTGACATATCGAGAGTATGCTGTACATCGTATTAATGAAAAAAAAACTGCATTTGTTTTAAATTTGAAATTAAATTTTTCATTGTTTCTTTAAAATCTTTAATCCTGTTTATTTTGTTTCATCAAAAGTGATTCCATCTTTCCCCGGAAAAAAGCAAAATGGCTCCTCTTTTATCAATATATTTTGCACTTGCTTTATTTTTTTATTTCGTTTCCATTTTCATTTTTTGTTTCTTTATTCTTTTGCATTTTAACTAAGCTTTTCGGTTGAGCACTTTAAGTTCGGCACCATTTTTGCAACTACTTTCTTGCAATTTTCTTTCAATTTGTGGAGATGCTGAAAGGTATCCAATATCATGTTTATCTTTCTTACAGCTCTCACTAAAGTTCACGTAAATGTTCTATTACATTCTCTATCATCCCCTGATGAGTCAAGTTTGGTAACAATGCTTTTATTTTTTATATACTATAATTGTTTCTATATAAAAGAAATTATCTGAACTTTAATGAAATAGAATTTCAATTTAATATTTGTATACCTATGTGCAATGCGCAAAAAAATAAATGGACCACCCTAAATAACTTTTGATTTAATGATCGGATCTTCATGTTTTTGGAATCAATCTTGAATGTTCAAGGGAATGACCTCAAATATGCTAAATAATTAGAGCAGACGATATTATAAGCTGCGAAATCAGACTCAAAAATGTACTTTCTCTGAATAAACACACATTTGTTTCAACGGATTTCGATTTCTGAACTTAAAAATAAGGGGGGTGGCTGCAATTTGGGAAATATGGTACTAATAGTTTGATCAGGAGAGCGGTATTAAGTATTATATTTTTTTATTATTTCATTTAATAACAGCCAAAAAAATTTTTAATTATAATTATACAATTTTTTACATAATTTTAGGGAATATAATTTTACAAGGTAAAATACAAATTTGACAAAATCGATCGAATAGTTCCAGAGAAGTCGAATTTTTAAGAAAAAGTTTCACAAAATTTAATTTCTCAGGAACTATTTGACCAATTTCACTCAAATTTTATATTTTGCCATGTAAAATTACATTCTTTAATCTGTTCTAGAAGAAATGTATACCTTACAATTCAAACTTTCTCGACTATTATTAAATAAAATAATTTAAAAAATATTTACATTAAGTTACTTTTTACATGGACTTATCGTTGGATAAACGAATTTTATAATTGTATGCAAAACTTTTTCAGTTCACTTAATAAGTTCTCGAGATATGGCGAAATTCGCAAAAAGTCAAATTAACAACAAAAAAAAGGGGGTGTAAACTTTGGACCGCTCTCCTGATCAAACTTTTAGGACTATATTTCACAAATTGTGGGTACCCCCTATATTTCGGGGGATCAGAAATTCAAATTGATCGAAAAAAAAGTATGTTTATTCAGAGAAAATAAGTTTTGGGGTCTGATTTCGTAACTGAAAATATCGCCGGCACTAATTAATTCGCATATTTGAGGTCACTTCCTTGAACATTCAAGATTGCTTCCTAGAACGTAAATATCAGATTATTAGATCAAAAGTTACGCAGGGTGTTTTTATTTTGCGCACTGCACAGGCCAAAAATAAAAGAAATACTATAATGTATAAAAAATTACAATTTAAAAAAGACATTTCATGACTTATATAAAAATTTTATATTGCCATAAGGGTGTTTGGTAAAGGCCATCCTTAACATATATTTTCAGAATCCTTGTTAAATATAGTCAGTAAATATAGTCAGTATAGTGCATTACTGGTCGTAAATTAATAATGTGAGGAAGAAGCAGAAACGCAATCAAAATCTGTCAAATCACTGAAGATGTAAACATCAAAACAAGTTTGATTGCCTCTTAAATTTAAAGGTTTTACTCATAATCGCCTTTCAACTACTCCAGCAATCAAATATATTTTGTCATTTTTCATCTCAAATTTTTCAGTTGTGATTTAACAGAACTTATTTTTTTGATAAAATATCATGTTGCTACCCTTCAAAACGTTGGAAAAAAAACAATTGAATTGAAATTTTCTTTACGTTTTATTTATCTATATTCTAAAAAAAAAAAAAAACATATATTTGTGATAAAAATAAAACTCAGTTAACTATAAGAAATTATTTTACATAATATTTTTCTCATATTTTTAACCCTTTAGCGCAGATGGGACACCGGTTTCCCTTTTATATATATTTTTTCTGACGTTCTAATTACAAGCAAAAACATATTTTGATATTTTTAATTATAAAAAAAGGTCTAATAGTTACTAAAAATCTGTTAGATTATCGTAATTATATTTATACCGAAATACAAAATCCAAAAATAATTAGTTTAAAAGTATTTTTTCATTCTTATTCAAAATTTTATCAATAATTAATTTGATAAATTTCAATGGTGAATAACTGTTTCTGTTAGATCTAAATAACTGCAAATAAGAGCAAACTTGAAAACTTATTGTTTGGAATTGAGCCTTGTTTGACAGATTTCACTTTTGAATCTTTCTGTAAAAACAGAAAAGACATTGGTGTTTCATGCTGTATTTCATAACCATAAATTATTAAAATGCTAAATATAATATTTATCACTTATTTTGACCTAGATTAGTACAAAATAATAAAAAATGTATGAAAAATATGTAACATAAAAATTCTGCTTCAATAAGCAATTGAAGTCAATAAAAAATTTTTAATAGGTTTCATTTTTCTGGCTGAAATAAAATTATACATTGAACATATATTCAACCTTTCATAACATTTTTTAACCAGATGAAAACGACAGTTTTCATTTTGATAATAAGTAATTTTGATAATAAGTCAATAAGTAATCGAAGTCAATAAGTCAATAAAAAGTTTTCTTTAAATAAGTTTCATTTTTCCAGCTGAAATAAAATTATACATCGTACATTTATCCAACCTTCTATAAATTTTTTTTAACCAGATAAGAAGACAGCTTCGATTTTGATACAATAATAAGAAGTATACTTTAATCTGATGTATACTTTCATTCTATCATTCTTTTGTAACGAGCTTATAAACATGTCCGAACAAGCTTTCTTATTAGATACTCAAATGCAACCAAATTACCACCAAAGAGTAAAGTACATCATCTATAATTAGTTTCTTCAGGTGGAAAGGGTTTTTTAGGGTTTCTCTTTGATAAAGTATGATCGTAATGCTTGGTTATTGATTAGATTTTATTGAAGACAACCTAAACAAGTTGATACAAAAATGATACGAGAGCTCCATTCAAAAAAGTCATCTAATTGGAAGAAAACAATTTTGATATCTTTATAAAGAACAAAACTTGTGGATTAAATTTTGTATTTGATCAATATTTCACAAGCGTTTAATTCCTAGTATAAATGCAGGCATTTATTTTCTTTGAAAAGCAGTTCAAAGATTAAATAGCGATTTTCAGCTTTATTATAGATCATGTTAAATTTCGAAGAGTTTTAAAAAAGTCGGACGTTTTGAAATTGATCTTTCATTTTATTGTACTATTTTATGGTCGTAAAAGAATACTATAATAAACTTCTAAATCAAAGTATTTTTAACAGGAAATATATCAACGAATATATGAATACATAACGCTTTCTTACATTCTAAAAAATCAGTCGATCAAATTGCAGAATTTTAAAACACACCGAAAAACAATTTCTTGTAAAATTACCGTAGTGTATAGTAAAGGTATTTCTAGTAAAAAAACATAATTCTGGTAATAAAAGCAAAATAGAAGGCACCTAAACTAGTCATATGGTAACGGTTTACCAGAAACTTCGGTTTTCAAAATTATAGTTCTTATTATTACACATTTAGAAAAATACAAAACGAGCTGGTAAACTTAACCGAATAAATGGTTATTATGACAAAAAAAAAACAAATTTTACCACAATTACCAAATTTTAACACATATATCAATATTTTATTGTTAATTTTACAAAATTCATTACAAAAGTGCTTCCTTAAAAATTATCGCACTTTTTGGTGTTCCATTAGTGACAGAAACACGGTAAATTTTACCACATTCTGATAGTTTTGACCATACTTTTTTGTTTTTCAGTGTACGCATTGAAACTCTACTAGCAGACATATATATGGTTTAAATAAGTAAACTTGAAAATTGATGCACTCCACTCACATATCTACATGAGTAAATTACTGTTCACATAAAAATACTGTTCACTCTTTGATTTCTCTCTTTGATTAAAACATTTGAATTCACTTTTTGATTAAAGTAATAATTCACTCCTTGATTATGTTGTTAGTTTCCTACATAAGTTTGAGTCTAAACTATACTAATTAGTATACTACACTGCACACTAATAGTACACTATTACTATTAATATACTACACTGTGTACAAATCGCATACCATTATTATACTATAGTACATTATTAGTATACTATTACTATTAATACATTACACTGTATACAAATAGGTTTACTATTATTATACTATAGTATAATATTAGTATACTATAGTATATTATTAGTATACTATTAGTATATTATTAATATACTATTAGTATATTATTAATATACTATTAATGTACTACACTGTATACTAAAAGAAAAAAGTATATTATTAGTATACTATTAGTATACTACACTGCATACTAATGAGACTGATCCCCGTTAAAAATCAAATCAAATTTTGATCAAATTATTTCATATGTCACGTTCAGAGATTTCAAACATATTTATGTATTTCAGCTAACTTTTACCCAGTGAAACTTCTTCATCACAAAAGTCACCTTAAAATTTAAAAAGAAAAAACGCCCATAACGTCATAAGTGTCTCCTTTAAGAAGAGTCGATGATTCTACGTTTTTGTTAAAAAGTTTTTTCCTTTCCTCTCGTAATTACACGACATGATTATTAAATCCAATTGTTTTCCATGAGAAATAATGTATTGTCATCTTAAGAATCACAAGACACAATCACACTAAGAAAAAACTAGGGTCAAAAGTAGCAGAATTAAATACGTATAATATATATACCGTGTTTCCGGCTCTATGGGAAAACCAAAAAACTCGGTAATTTTATCGAAACGCTTTGGTAATGATTTTGGTATAAGTGACGATAAAATATGGTTTTATAATATGTCTAAGAATTTGATAAATGTTTTAAGATTGTGTAGTTTTATCATGATACCTAAGTGCATGACATAAAAATCATCGGTTAATTTTACTTTTCACTTTAGTATTTTTTACTAAATGTGTAGTAATAAGAACTATAATTTTGAAAACCAGAATTTCCGGTAAACCGTTACCATATGAACGGAAAAATTACCAAATGAACGGTTTAAATGCCGCATATTTTGGCTTTATCACCAAAATTACGATTTAAAAATTTTTTTATTACTATTGCGGTAATTTTATCAGAATTTTTTTTCTCCATGTAGGGAGTAAAAGTGAGAAGAAAAACATCAGAACCAGTTTGATTATCTGACGAAACTTTGAGGTGTTTCCAAAAATAAACTTCAAACTCTTCTCTACTTCCTCTGATAATCAAACAGGCTTCAATTTTTTCAGTCTAGCTTTCCGCAGTAGTGATCTGGTAGATTTCGATTGTGTTTTTCATCTTCCCATTAAATATTAATTTATGACTCCTAATGCATATAATTTGTTATATTTTTTACAAGGATTCCACAAATGTACGTTAAGGGTGATCTTTATGGAACACCCTGCCTATCATGTGTAATTTATGAATTGTTTTATATTTTTCATCAAACAGAATTATGAAGTGGAGTTTCTCCTAAATAGAAAATGGGATGATCCTCGTCTAAAATTCAATGATAATGGCCGCCATAAGTATCTCAACGGGTTATCTCACGTTAATAATATTTGGTTGCCCAATACATATATCGTGAAACATGGAAATTTGAAGAACATCTTACCAGATATGAGTCTTAGAATTTATAATAATGGTACAATAGTGCATACTTTGAGGTATGTATAAGAAATAATTTTATTTTAACAACTTTGGTTATTTTATTTTACTGTTACAGCATTTAGTTGCAGCTCAAGTTGTATTTATCGTATATCGTATTAATTATTATTGTATTTTTATCGTCTTAAAATTGATCCTTCCAAAGGATTTTTGGAATGCAAAATTATATTACAAAATTCGAAAGTAGGGAACATTTTTAATCAAACTATGGAATATTATAAAAAGTAAAATGAGTGAATTTTTGTATCAATAAATAGAGGAAAATATAACATCCTTCACTTTTCATGAATATAAGAATAATTATTAAAATATGACTTGGTAAAGAAGACTAAAATAACTAGCTTTTAAAAATAAATTATTTGACTAAAAACATATTTGTTCAATATATCCATATTATCATATTATTGATTTTTGTTATTGAACAAGTAATTTTTTATGTGTTACCATTTTTGACAACATCCCTTTCTTATTCCATTTTTATTTTCATATCAAATAATTATTAATAAAGTTATTAATAAATTATTTTACTAAAAATATATTTGTTCATTACTCATTTGTTCTTAACTTATTATTCAACATAAGCGTGTTTAGGAGCTATAATCTAAAATGATTAATAAATTATTTTACTTAAGAAAATATTTGTTCAACTTATCCATATTATTATTGATTTTTGAAACTGAACAAATAATTTTTTATGAATTAAAATATTTAAAATAAAATATTTATAATTAAAATATACTATAATTATTAATATATTATTATTATAAATTATTATTATAAATAATTTATTAATAAAAATATATTTTTACTATTGATAAATTATTAATATTTTAATTATTAATATATTATTTATTTATAATTAAAATATTTGTTCAACTTATCCATATTATTATTGATTTCTGTAACTGAACAAATGATTTTTTGTATGCTACCATTTCTGATAACTTCTCTTTTTTATTTTTATTCCATTTCTGTTTTCATGTTAATCTTTAAAAAAGTCACTCAAGAGCTATTTGTGTAACAAGCAATTAGAATATAAAACTGTGCAAAAAAATAAAACTGTCAGTAAAAAATATTTAATACGAAACTATAAACGAGGTCATGAAAATAAGCAAAAATAAAATGGCACCAAAGACATTCGTATAAATTAATCAAATCCACATTATTTGTATAATTAATAGAAAGGCGTAAAACCTAGTTATTTATCTGATAATAATCCTCTTAACTCATTATTCAACCTAGGCGGGTTTAGATCTAAAGTGTTGAAGATAAATGGTTTAATCTTTCCACAAGGTGCTTAATAAATTTATGAGTAAATATGATTAACTAAGGCAGATTAGATATGAAATACCAAAACCTAAATTATAAAGCTTATGGTTACGGGAAAATTTTATAATTTCGGATTTAATAAATACATTTTAGATGTTGAAGAGAAAGACTGTTCTAATTCCTATATCTGTATGATTGTCCTAAAAATATGTTTTAAGAGTTGTTTTAATTTCTCTTCTATGATAGTAATTGCTTTAGAAATAACTTAATGTTTCTTTCTTATTAGAAACTTAATTACATCTTTTTAATTATTTATTATTATGTCTCTTAATAACACTAAATTGTGAATTTTTTTATAATTATTGCTTATCCCTCTTATAAATACTTTGAAAAAAACTTCATAATTGTTTGATAAATATTACTGAACTTTGTTTGTGATGCTAAAGTTGCTAGGAGAATGTTGGATTTTAAAATGTATTGTAAAGTTTTAAAATGTTATAGTAGCTTAACTCGAGAAAAAATTGTAGCACGGCATTGCTTTTAATAGAAATTGGAATTTTTTTTTCCCGCTAAATCAGGATATCTTCACGTTCTGCGTACACGGTGAAAAACAGTTTGTTAAAATTACCATACTGTATGGTAATAACATTTCTGGTAATTAATAATTACTATAATTCTGGGTAATAAAATCAAAATATATAGTACTTAAATCATTCATTTGGTAGATTTTCCGTTCATGTGTTAATGGTTTACCGGAAATTCCGGTTTTCAAAATTATAATTCTCATAACCCATTTATTAGAAAGTGCAAAACTGAAAAATAAGTTTAACATTATAAAAGGATTTTATGGCATGTTCTAAGGCAGGGATGGCGAACCAATGGCACGCGACACAATATTTTGGGCACTACACCGATTACAATTGTTGTTACACTATGAAGCATATGTAACAATTAAATTAAAATTCACAAAAAATAAACAATTATTAATAAAAAAAATTAAAAATTAATGCAAAAAAACAATTAATAACCATAAAAAACAAGCTAACAATAAATAACTAGCAGAACAAAAATTAACAGTCCTGCTTAAACTAACATCTTACAACCTAATATAAGTTATTTGTCATCTAATCTGCAACAACAGAAGTCACACTGATGTTACTTGAAAGTTGAATTACGCGTATAACTGAGATAATGCAAAATGTATTTCTTTTTCAATGTAAATAAAGAGTTTTGAGTTGATAGTATTTAGCGGAGTTGAACATTAGTAGCNTTTATAAATATTTATTAAGTATGAAATTTAGTGTACTACTTATTTAGTGTAATAAAAGTTTACTAAACAAGCAGATTTGGCTCCCAATTTGTTTTAAAAATTGTTGTAATGTTCATATTTGGCTCTTTGGCTAAAAAGTTTGCCGACCACTGCTCTAAGGTATCATGAAAAAATTCCCAAATGGCAAATTTTATCACGTATTATAAAATCATAGTTTAAAGTTAATTTTACCGAAATCATTATCAAAACACTTCGATAAAAATTACCTAGCTTTTTGGTGTTCCCATAAATTTAGTAACACGATAAATTTTACCATATTATGGTGGTTTTAACCATGCCTTTTTTCGGTTAAATTTACTTTTCAGTTTCATATTTTTTACTAAATAGGAGGTAATAAGAAGTTTGAAAACTGGAAATTCCTTTAAACCACTACCATATGAACCAAATTGTTTAAATAACGGTTAAGAATTATATTTCAGTTTTATTAACCAGAATTAGTTTTATTAACCAGAATCAGTTTTATTAACCAGAATTTCCAAATATTTACCTTATTTTTACTTTATATTTTCCTTATTTTTGTTTCTCTATGTTCAGCAATACTTGCATTACCCCTTAATCGTCCAGTTTTCTTCTCCGATTTATATTCAATGTTCACAGTCGATCAAAGACCATCCTTTAAAAGTAAAAATCGGTATCTAATGCCTGTATCCAAAATTAAGAAATCTCCTACATAATATCATTTTGCACCATTAAAATATATAACAAATTCATTTTGCTTAAACTCTCGAAAGGATTGCTAGTGGTTTTCAATGGTTTGAGTGCAACAAACTGATTGATTCAAAAATTTCCAAACATACATTCATGATTAGTTTTCTGTTAAATTTAACTTCCTTTTATAAATTAGCCAGAAAAGTTTATTTTTCTACTACTAATAAATTTAAGCTGTAATCTTCATTTTAAATTATTTAAGATAATTAGGATGCGTAGTTATTTAAGAAAAAAATTGAAGTAATTTTCTCTTTCATCGAAAAAGAATATTCTCAAATTATACTTATTTTTTAACAAATTCTACAACAATGTCAAAATGTAATTCTTTAAATGATTAGTGAAATGCCTTTAAAGAAATAACGTATAAAAAGAAAATTATTTCATATGAGTTTTTAAACTATTTTCCCGCTAAAACCAGTTAGTTTTTAAACATTATACACCATCATTTTAAATATTGTTTTTTTGTTTTCTGAGCTGTAACAATTTTTTTAGCCTGCTAGTCTGAACATGTTTTTTTTCCTTTCTTTTAAATTTTATAAATGACTTACCAAGTGCGAATGAAAGCTAATAAATTATAATTCACAAAAAAAACTTTGTCCGCCAGAACTGTAACACCACTTTCTAATTTTGTTACTTTTAAAAATAGCCTAATTGTTCTTGACAAACCATTTTTTAATTAATTATAATAAATTAATTGGCTGTCTATTGCTGTTAACCAAAACACTAATTTAAAAAAACTTCGTTTCCCTGTGAAAATGATATTTATAAAGAATAAAAATGGCAAAAAGTTTTTGCGATGCTGTCTCTCAAATTTATAGAATTAAATTAAAATGATTAACATAAAAATTCACTGTTGATATTTTATGATGTCTCTCGGATTTATGTAATTAAATTCAAATGATTCTTATAAATATAAACACAATGAATGTTTAAAAATAATTAATAAGCATTAAAATTTATTTTTCTGTTAATTTTTTTTGAGTAAATTAAATTTATATTGATATACATACACATTACTAGTAATAGATAAACTGTCACCAGATACAGTTCAACAGTTTCTAATAAATACACATTAAAAAATTTTTAAAAAAAAGTAAAATGATGGGTTGGGAAAATAACCGTCTGATATACAGGATTTTTTTGGTAAAATCAAATTAGCAATTTTAGGTAAATTCAAACTTATTAAAAAATAATTTTATTCCAAAAAGCAAATTAATAAATAATACCATTAATAAATTTTTCAATAATTAATTAAACACCCTTCTAGATAAACAGTAAGAAAATGAGTAAGAAAATAAAAGGAACCGGGGCTTGTTATTTTCTTAATCTGTTTTGCTCATACTTATATTTTCAATTACACTATAGTTAAAAAAAAGCTACATTAAGTAGTTATTTACAAGTTTTATCTTTTTACAGAAGAGGAATATCAATCAATTGCCAAGGAAATTTATTGTCTTGTTATTTTCTTAATTTGTTTTGCTCATGCTTATATTTTCAATTACACTATAGTTAAAAAAAAGCTATATTAAGTAGTTATTTACAAGTTTTATCTTTTTACAGAAGAGGAATATCAATCAATTGCCAAGGAAATTTAAAAATATTTCCATTTGACAATCCAAAGTGCCCATTTGCTATTGAAAGTGGTAAGTTTTTATTTTTATCCCTCTGACACAAGCTTCTTATTAATATATTTTTCATACTTTTTTTTATTATTTTCCGTTTATCTAGGTCAAAATAAGTAAAAATTGTCATATTTAGCATTTTAATAATTTATGGCTATGAAATACAGCAAGAGACACCAATGACTTTTGCTGGGTTTAAGATAAAATCTTTCAAACACGGCTCACTTCCAAACAATAGCTTTTCAAATTTGCACTTATTTAGATATAAGAACAAATATTCATCATTGAAATTTCTTTTATTTTCAAAACCAATTATTGATAAATTTTTGAAATNAAAATTATAGACATATGAAAAAGGGGGGGGGGAATAATAAGTAAAAAAATAACAAACAACAGTCTTAAAAAAAAAGGATAAAATTTTATTTAAAAAAAAACGGAAAAAATATATATAATCTTTTCATCAGTCCACACGATTATATCTGCAAAAAAGAGTGCTTTCTGATACTGTATCAATATAGCCAAAGCAAAATATATTAACACAATAGTGTGAAGAGCACTCAAAAAAATTTTTAACAAAAATTACAACAAATAAAATAGAACACAATATGTAAAAATAACATGCAAGAACAGACAATAAAATAAAAGAAAAAGAAAAAACAGTATAAAATATAGACTATAAAGCGAGTAGCGAAATCAGATGTACTTACATGGACGGGAAATTTTTCAAGAATGATTTAAAAATGTTTTCGCAACAAGATTACCAGATTACAAAATATGAAAACAAAAGCGCAAATTGAGTGTAATTAGAGGGTTTTAAAGTACCGTTCTTACTGAAATGCCGAAGTGATTTGTTATTCTGTGCATTGATTTATNATATATATTAAAGGGAAACCGGCGTCCCATCTACATTCAGAGTAACTAAAAAGAGTTATAGTAATTGTATAATTTAAAATATATATTTCTATCTCAACTAATTCCAAGTAAAAAATATGTAAAAACAGCTGCTTTTTCAATGGGCTATCGTATAAAAAAAAAGTCATAGGATATTTTTTTAATGAAAACTAAACTATTTCAAAATCGGTTTTCAAATAGTTATTAATAATATGAAGCCTAAAAATAAATTTTTTTATGAAAAGTTCGTGGATCAAGCAAAAGTGTTTTAAAATTCTGATTCAACTCAAAATTTACAGAAACAGAATTTAATCAATTCTGATTTAAATTTTGCTGAAAGTGGCGTCGTGTAATCAAGTTCAAGAAGCAATAATATGGTTCAATTTTGTACCGTACTACTGTTACAGCAAATTTGAATGAAATAGTGGATAATCGTGTTTAAAATTTCTTAACAGTGTAAAACTGGATGCAACGCATTTTGCATTAACATACATTTGGATGGTAGAAGTTACCCTGTGTTCAAGTAGCTGATTACTGCTTTATCGAGGAAATTGTGAAGTTTCGTCGGAGATCATTCGACATTTTTTTTAAAACTTTTCACCGAAAAAGCTTTTTTTTTCCAAATTTCAGTCTTTAAATGTATATGTTAATTCAGCGGAAATCTTAGCAACTTTTTCCTTGAAATAATTTTTTCTCCATCTCATGTTATGAAAATGCTGATTTTGTTTTCTCTAACTAAATTACTATGCCACTAACGTGCATTACCTTGATTGTAATTTGCAATATCAGAATTGGCATAAAGCCATGCGACGTGCATTTTTACTATAAACAGACAACTATTATTCAAATTAGTTGAACTTAGAGTATACTTAATCACGAAAATTTAAATAATGCTACTTTCGTGTATGAAAATTCTCTTTCCTGATTAAACTAATTAGAGATAATTCTGTATGAAATTTGTATTTAAATGCTTATTTAAAACTTGATTTGATATGTACTATTAGAAAGATTAATAATCTCAGCACACTTACATTTTGTTTTTTGATTTATTATCCCAATATGCTCGATATTGCAATAAAACTGTTTAATGGAACAAAGCCAACTGTTACAAGTTCTGAGCCTATCGATATTTCAGAAAATACGATTGTAAGCTCTCATGCGTTTAACCGACAATTACCGCGCTTGATTGAAGATATATTGGTAAAAGAGTACGACAAGCTCGTTGAAATCGAACATATCATGGTTTCGAGTCCAGAGAAATAATCAAAAATTCAGATATTCTCAAAAAAATATGTGAGAATTTTTATTTTTCATTTTTGTTACCATCTAGTAAACTATGTGAATGAATGGTGAACAACACTGTAAAAAAATACCCAAGCTTTTCTGAATAAATCGGGTAGCTACGGTGCATGTAGTTATATATATATANTAAGAGCTAAAGTAAATATTGCTGAACATAGAGAAACAAAAATGAGGCAAATATAACACGGAGAAAAAAATTTTGGTAAAATTACCGTACTGTATAGTAATGTTATTTTGGTGAAAAAAAATTGATTCTGGTTAATAAAACCAAAATATACGGTATTTAAACCATTCGTTTGGTTTATATGGCAGAGGTTTATAGGAATTTCTAGTGTTCAAAATACTTTTTGCAATATATTTAGTAAAAAATATGAAACTGAAAAGTAAATTTTTACCGATTAAATAATTTTTATGACATTCTCTAAGTTACTATGATACAATTATAAAATTTTTATCAAATTTTATCACTAATTATAAAACCGCAATATATTGTTAATTTCCCCAAAATCATTACCAAAGCTCTTAAGTAAAAATTACCGGGCTCTTTGGTGTTTCTATAGAGCTAAAAACACGGTAAATTTTTTATTATTCTAATGATTTTTACCATACTTTTTTTCTCAGTGAAGGTACAGAAGCTTAGAAATTTTTATCACCGACTTTAAAAACATATTTTCGAGATAATAACTTTTGAAGGTGTACTCACACTATTATAAATAAACACCATAATCTTGTATAAATATATTTTCAGGTTGAGCAGTAAAAAATGTTTTAAAAAATTTGTCCATGTCGGTATACCATTTAAGAAATCTTAATCAATCTTCTGATTTATTCATTTAAATAGAGAAACAAAATTTTTTTTAATTCGATACAATTTTCTGTTATTTAAATATTTTTCGAAACTACTATATATTTCCGTAGCTTTAGAAAACGATCAGATGTACTAAATGAGAAAAAAATAATAAATTCAGTTTTAAACTTTCTTACGCTCTTTTTAAAAATGTGTAAATTCAATTGTAAATCATTTTTTAAATGTATCAATGTCTATTTTTTCAGTTGCTTTGGAAGATGATGAGATGCAACTACAGTGGAATGAAAATAATTCTTTGCAACTTGCAACTTCTTTACAATCATTTAATGCTTATCTCATTTGGTCAAAAATAGGAAATTGTGGTGAAATGTTCACATGGAGAGGTAATTATTGTTTCTATTAAATTCTATTAAACTTTTTTCTGACCTAGTTTAGAGGAAATTCATGCAAAATGTATGCTAAATATATTAAAATTTATCACTTAATCTAAATTTAGGAAGCATTCTATTTCATATAGGAGGAAATTGACGTATTTTTTGCTTCTCAAAATGAAATCATTCAACTTTAGTCATACGTTTTATCTTTAAACTTTTATTTTCATATAAATTCCTAGTTTTTTTTTAATATCATTTTTTTTCTTCAGAAAATCAAAATTTAAAATGCCAAATTGAATTTTTTAAAGATTGAAGCAAATGAACATTTTATAATATTATATATTTTAAATTTAAGGTACTGCACCAACCTTTTAGGTAAAAGGGGAAAAAAACGGAATTTCTGGAATTTTTTTCAGTTTTGGCAAAGAGAGGTAATTTACTGTGGCAATCCCAGATCTCATAAAACTTTTATGAAATCAATAATTTTAATTCCAACGACATTTCATAAATAGTAATAAAAACAAACACTGAATCATTCGGTTATGGAAAAAAAATTAAAACGTCGAGCTATTGCAAACAATAGGAACCGATTTTTCTCTCTAAATGTTGGTCTTTAATCGACTGTAAATTTAAATCGGAAGGGAAAATTGGACGATTAAGAGCTAAAGTAAATATTGCTGAACATAGAGAAACAAAAATGAGGCAAATATAACACGGAGAAAAAAATTTTGGTAAAATTACCGTACTGTATAGTAATGTTATTTTGGTGAAAAAAAATTGATTCTGGTTAATAAAACCAAAATATACGGTATTTAAACCATTCGTTTGGTTTATATGGCAGAGGTTTATAGGAATTTCTAGTGTTCAAAATACTTTTTGCAATATATTTAGTAAAAAATATGAAACTGAAAAGTAAATTTTTACCGATTAAATAATTTTTATGCCATTCTCTAAGTTACTATGATACAATTATAAAATTTTTATCAAATTTTATCACCAATTATAAAACCGCAATATATTGTTAATTTCCCCAAAATCATTACCAAAGCTCTTAAGTAAAAATTACCGGGCTCTTTGGTGTTTCTATAGAGCTAAAAACACGGTAAATTTTTTATTATTCTAATGATTTTTACCATACTTTTTTTCTCAGTGAAGGTACAGAAGCTTAGAAATTTTTATCACCGACTTTAAAAACATATTTTCGAGATAATAACTTTTGAAGGTGTACTCACACTATTATAAATAAACACCATAATCTTGTATAAATATATTTTCAGGTTAAGCAGTAAAAAATGTTTTAAAAAATTTGTCCATGTCGGTATACCATTTAAGAAATCTTAATCAATCTTCTGATTTATTCATTTAAATAGTGAAAAAAAATATTTTTTTTAATTCGATACAATTTTCTGTTATTTAAATATTTTTCGAAACTACCACGAAATTTTGTTTTTAACCGTAAAACTTTATTTACAAATTTTCTTCAAAATTAGAAAATTATTAGTAAATGGTTGGTTTCATTTAAGAGATTCCTATTCCTATTTTTAAAAATAAATTTAAAAACTAATTTAATGCATAAAGATGTCTAATTATAATTCGAAATAAAAAATCTTATCTGAAAAAAAATTATAATTAAAAATAAACTTCAAATTTTACTTTTTTTCCTTTCATATTTTCAAAAGTTTTATAACTTTTTATTTTTTGAAAGTTTGTATTAATAAATAAATATGTTCATCGAGCTTAAAAATGTTAGTCTAACATTTAACACAAAAGACTTCCACTAAAGGCAAAAGGCCAAAACATTTGGCAACAGATTTTAAAATTACATACCCTAAGTATATGATTTTGAAAAACTGCCAACATTTTCTAGATTCAATTTTTACAGTTCATGAGATTTCAAATACCCTGGCGCCGAAGACTTACCATATATCATATTCGTATATTCGAATAAAATATGCGCAGTCATTCATTAAATGCTTAATTTTATCTTTATGTCTGGAGTTGAGGTAAACTGCTTTTAATAACTATGATCGATCGTGAAATATTTTTAGTCAATTACATGTTGGAAAAGTAAGAAATTTTTCAAATTGTTGGCAATTCTTTTAAAGGATATCTAACTGAGAAAACTTTAACTTGAAAATTTGTAAATTCAAAATTTTAAATAATTGACTATTTGCATAATTTTTAACTAAAAAAAATAAATAAAAATAAAAAATAAATCAGGAATTTTATTAAAAAATCAAGTTATAAGTATTAATATTTTCATTATTTATTTGTGTTTGATAAATTTTAATAATAACTTTTTAGAAAAAATTGGTACTGTAACAAAGCAGAGGGAGCTATAATTTTTTTTAAATTATTAATATGCATTAAATCACCCAATTATATACAGATAGTAAAAAAATTTATAATTACATAAGTTTAATTTTAATAATATTTTTTTAGAACGAAACCGAAACTTTAACAGTTGAAAGAAGTTGAGCTACAAGTTGTTGTATTATTAATTTTATTATTAAAATATATGAAATTACCCAATTATATGTATAATGAAATATATCCCTTTAAGAATATATCCGGCACCATATATATACATATA